TAGAAGCAAATCGATGCAGGTCTTGATACCACTGTACAGAGGCGAAAAAATATTTCAAAAACCGAAATTACTTTATAAAGAAAATTGGAACTTACTATACGCTGTGTATACATCGAACTCTGAGTTCTTCAATTTAACCGCAGCAGCAACCAGAAGACGATTAACCGATTGATTCGACAAAATTCGAAATCGATCTTTCCCTAAGCCATTACCGAATCGAGCCAAGAATGTTCGACGAACAATTGCCAAAGCTGCTCAAAGACATTCGGCCGCAGAAAAATGACAATGAAACGACACAAAGCGCACTTGCAATAGTTCGGCTATCAATTCCGTTAAGTACCGTCAGTAGGTTCACCAAAGGCAACTGATGCGCTGTCACCGACAAAGCCACGGCTACGACTATCAATAGCACCTCCTGCATCTCCCGGATTCTTCTGCGATATTTCGAGTGTCAATATTCCTCGGCGGACCAACAATTTTAGCAGCAGCAAAGCCAAATCCGGTAGCAGCGCCAACTTTGGCGTCCTTGCCACAACCAGCACCGCTACCGATAGCAGTACAACCGCCCCAGAACATCCACCGGACCCAGATCCAGAGCCAATCGACACACCTCAGCCAGCGCACAACTAATGAATCATTCACGATGGACCACTAGACAATGCAGCGTCAGCAGCACCAGCCAATTCTGAAATCACCTGCATAGGACAAGATATTGAAGAAACCGCTGAGTACAAAGCTCAGCGCAAAGCAGTAGCTGAGGCGCGAGACAAAAAAGATGATCAAACTAAGTTTAATAAAGATATGCGAGACCATCCAATACCCCCGCGCGATAAAAAGCCGCGAAGATACGGACTTCGGACATTTGACGAACAAGAAGTTGTCCCTGTTGAGTAAAGTCCAAGATCAAAACGGATTGACAATCAAGTGAAATTACAAGAGAAAGTGGAGGAAGCAAGTGAGTCCCTTCCTCCACGAGATGAAGAATTTCAAAGGCTATCAGCGAGGTAAGCAAAACGAAAGATGTTCCCGTTAGAAGTAAATTTTTGGTAAACTCAATATATAAATATCAAGAATCAAATGTCTTTGTCAGACCAGTGAATGTTTTGAAACTTCCAGGCTCTTTAGCCCATTGTGTTCAAATTGACTCTCACGTGCACAAAAGAGTAGCATGCCAGGCTAGCAGTACCTACCCAAGTATCAAATCAACGCTAAAGAGCCCTTAAACACCAATAATTGGATCATCTACCTCAGTTTATTTGCCGCGGGAAAAAAGATCAACTTTCATTATAATCACTAAACGCAGTTTTTTTAATAAACAATTTTTTACGATTTGTCACGAAGCCTCAATTGAATAAAAAAAACGGATATCAAAAGATTCATTTATATAGAGACAGCTCAATATATCGTCTAGTACCATTCTAGTATGCTTTTTAACCACTGCTAGCTCCAAAATTATCAAACTGATTTTAGTAAAGTCAAAAAAGACGAATTGAGACGAAAAGTTTTTTTTTTAAAAAGCTTGAAAAAAATTTTGAAAACAAAATTTTGAAAAACTCATTTTTTCAAACACTGTGAGTTCTCAAAAAACTAAATAATAGCTAAAATTAAAAAACTATGCGCCTCAATTTACAAAATGTGTTCACTAAGAGGCAACTAGTTCATGAAAATCTCAAAAAAAACCTGTTTGTCCACGTGTTTAGGACAGGAATAAAAAAAACGTGAGCGATATCAAGTCAACACAACGAGAGGACAACCTGTTGGAGGAGTCGGTCTAGTAGGAAGCAACTACTTCATGAAGGTTTCGAAAGAACCACTTGATGTCCACTTATTGAAATCAGGAATAAAAAAGTCAGTGGTACTTCGTCAACCCAGTGAGAGGATTTCAAAAATTTGATGCCAATCGCATTCATAGCCCTAATGAGGAAACTGTATGAAGTCGGTTCACTAGGAAATCCAACTTCGTGAGACCTATACAAATCAACCTTTTGCCTATGTTTAAAGATAACGTATAAAAAAAGTTGAACCTCCCCAACAAACGAGTAGTCCAAATTTCAAAATAATTGCGTTCAATGGTCTTCAAAACCTTAGTGAGGCTCCTGTCCGAAGTTGGCTCACTAGGAGACATCAACTTCACGAAATCTGGAAAAGCCCTTGTTACCTGTGTATTAAGGTTGGCCAAAATAAAGTTGGCTATAAAAAGCTTAGCCCCCATCTGCGTGACATTCAGGTCTCAAAAAAATTAGAGCCGATCACCTTTAGAGCCCTATTAAAGATCATATACCAGCTCAACCCACTAGAAAACTGAAACTTGGAGAGATATAGCACTTTTGGTTTATCCCAAGCATCAAGAAAAAACTTTCGACAGGCCATTTGCAAAACATAAGAACTCCAAAAAGTCCGATTGTGCCGGAACTAATCCGCAAACTTGTTGAGAACACCCGGAAAGTCTTACAGAGCTTCCGAAAAACTATGCGAGAACCAAAAAGGTAGTAAAAATCGGAAAAGCATCGCAAAAATTAGGGTTGAAAAATCAGAATTCATCCATTCGAATAATAACTGAAGCCAATTTTTGCTTAAGCGAGCCAGCGATTTACTAGAGTTGCCTAAAAAATCGAAGTTAAGCAGAAGAAATCAAGACAGAAGACCAAAAACCAGATTACGCAAAAACTGAGAACTTCGGCAAAATGTGGAAAAAAAATTAAATACCCGACTTGAAGCTGTAAGGAAATGAATTTACTTTTGATAAAAACACGATCAGAACCGAACTGATTCATTCACAACACTTCAAAGAAAGTCACTCTCAGCATCAATGAAGCTACACGAATGTCATGCACCAACAATCGAAAGAAGACAAAAAGCGACAGCGAGACGACAAACAAAAATTGATCCCATGGATGAATTGAGCCAAAATTGAGCCAACTGCATGACAGGACGGTACTTTCCGTTTAAATATAGCTAAAGGTGACAATTCAATACATCAAGATATCATTGGTCTGACTTTATCATCTAATAATGAAAGGCTATGCCACAAGGTGGCTTCAAAATTATCCCCTCTCTAATTAAACTTAATGGTTTCGCTCAGTGTATGTTTTGAAACAACTATGAGTGCTTATACTATTGATGAATGTATTTCAATTTTTGTGAAAGATCCTATGATAGATATATAACTTAAAAATTGAGTTAAAACATTAAATTTATTCAAATTAGCTATAAAAAGTTCATGTGCTTTTTTGTAAAAGTATCTGATTCAACACTTCAACACCCTTGAAGTCTTCTTCTCTTGAGGTTTCGTGACATCAATGCATGAGGTCATGCTTTTATAACATGCTTTTTTGATCAGATTACAAAATTCAACTTGATATTAGGATGGACCTCAACTATTCATTTAACACTGAAAAAATTGATGTTTTTTAATACCAATCATTGGATCTTTATGACGAGCTGAAAACGAATTGATAAGATACTAGCTTAATTAAATGTTCCAATCATGATGTCATATTGCCTGCTTATTGACAATCGAAACCTAGAACCGAGCAAAACCAGCATCCTTTAAAGTAAGATAGGTCTTAACCGCTCGAGACGTATTCAAAATATCAACACAAATAAATCAAAGTTGATAGCCAGTTAGCGCTTATCAACTTTCTTACTGCTCGTATAAGCAATAAATGACATTTCAGCCGTGTTCAGTCTTCCCCTAGACAAGCTAAATTATATAGCGTTAAAGGAAAAATTCAGTAATTGTTCTCAAGTTTGGGCCAATTTTCAGCGTGGGTGAGAAGACGAAAAACAAAGCTTGGAACTGGAGTACTTTTAAGTGATAATCGACCTTTTTGTCTCCAAAAATGAATAAAAACAAACAAATTTTGTTTTTACGAAAAATAAAAATTATTTTTTTTTCCGCCAAGAAAGCGTTAAAGGAAGCTCCAGAATAATGTTTTCTTTTAGTAAAACAAGACATGACGTTTGGTACCCATTTGGAAGATAATTTGAGGTAGCTGATTTTGCGTGGAAAAAAAGTAAAAAAAAGGAGTGTTAGAAACAAAAACGCTGAGTGCCATCAATTCATTGAACAAATTGTTACAGATAACAACGAATGCTCTATGATTGAAACAAATAAATGTTTAAAACTATGAAAGAAAGAATTAATAACAAAACCAAAAAATCAATCGAGACATTTAATTTTATACGCAAAAAAATTTGGTATCAATTGTCTCAAAACATCTGGGAATCAGAAGGGAGCGTTCTTCATTGCTGAAGTACAATAGTGCCGAAACTGGAGAAGTGTTCTGCAGCGCTAGTCGATTTGATCGATTTCAAAAATTTTACCTCAAGTCGGTTTGATTGGAGAATTTTTTGCCGAATATTTTGTTGACGATGTTGGTGTTAATTGCCCTCCGGAATATTGTGTCGAAACAATTAGGAATCAAGGAATGAAAGGAGTGTCGCTGATAACTTTTCAACTGTTTTTACAGAGTCAAGGTATTTCTGAAATCTATTGACAAGAATAAACTTGAAAACTTGCAAAAAAATTAAACCAATTATCTCCACAGGGCTAAGCACTCAAGAGTCCAAGCGCTCTTTCGTTTTTTTTTAAATTTTTTTCTGGCATTTGAAAATCAATTGATAGGATGCGTTTAAATGTAGTAATAATAATAATAATAATAAATTGTTTCCAAAACATATCTAACATTTCATCGCTTTTGATATATTCCTTTTTACAAAATGCAGAAAATAGCAGGCGTTTGAATGTGTTTTTTCGATAAGTATCATGTACAGCAATTTTGTTTCATTGCTGGATAATCATACGAAACCCAATTCTGTCATACGTATTTTGTCATGTGTCAACCTTAGGCGGTGTGATATTTGCACATTATTTGTTTAAGTAATTTTTAGCCAAACTTTCCGAATTACATAAAAAAGAAGCGCTTCTAAAGCCATTTTGTGATTTTCAGTTCATTCGCACGAGGTTCACTGATTGCTCTATCAGCTTCCAAATTCGCCAGTGATATCACTTGGGCTTGTATATCAAGTCGCACAGATAGTTCACATGGATGGTTCACAGTAGTTCTTGAGTACATCGACACACCCGAGAGCTCCTTCATGCAGTCCTTAGTGACGTTGCTCAGCGCCAAAAACTCGATCATGCTTCTGGACTCCTTGACATTGTACCGAGCACATGGACCTATCTTGACCTCAATTAGTCAGATGAAATCGGTCGCGTTTCCAGAAGAATTAGTATATGCTCAAACAACTGAAGAAATCCAACTTCCTACAAGCCTTCAAAACGAGTCTTTTGAAGACAACATAAATAGACAAATTGGAGAGAGATTAGATGATAGTCAAATGACGGCTATGCAGGTTTTGTGTCAGAATAGATTGGCAATTGTTCAGGGACCCCCTGGTACTGGTAAAACGTTTATTGGCGTCGGGTTTGCAAATTTACTCTTAAGAAACGTTCAGCATAAGAATTCCAGTCGTGCCCCAATATTGGTTTTGACTCACAAAAATCACGCTCTGGATGAGTTTTCAAAAGCGATTATCGGCAAAATTCGACCAAGTTCTGCCAAGGGTGATTTCATCAGGCTGGGAAGTCGGTCCAAAGAAGAATCAATGGAAAGTTATCAATTGAAATGGCAACTGGAAAACCGGACAGATTTCGAGCATCAACTGATGAAAGAAATAGAACTGACCCAAGCTAAAATTTCATCGAGCTTCATTAGTTTCCAAAACTTAATTCAAAGCGCCCTTTCGGTCGATGTGATTTTGCGATTCTTCGACAACTTACAGCTTCTTAATCTGATTAAATACAAGTTGGACTCAAACTTTCCCTCTTTCCCCCATAGGGGCTATGACTCGAAAAACTCGGTGGTTAATACCCTTTTTGAACACCTAGCCAACGGAAAATACTATACCAGCATTGATTTGATAAGGGATATAACAAGAAAAGCACTTGATGGTTGGCTTCCTTCTGATCAAACTACTCGTTTTGAAATTGAGAAAATCGAAAAATCCAAAAAAAGCAGAGAGGAGTTGAAGAGAAAAGATAAAATTGAATTTGTGAAACTTGAGAGTCGTTACGAAAAAGAGGATAATTTCGAAGCAGACAACAAAAATATTGACGATAGACTTGAAGAAAGAATTGCGAAGATGGAAGAAATTGGACTTGGCCAGCAAGAGTATTTGAAGGTTGATGCAAAGTTGGTCACTCCTGGGATTGATCCTTACAAACTTGAAAGCTTGCAACCTGTTTGTCTGGAATATCTCGGGTACTCGACACATTGTATGGCTGCCAATTCAAACTTGGCAGAATTCCGTAGTTCTCTGGATCCCTGGAGCATTTCCGAACTGGATCGGCTGAAATTAGTTCAGACACTAGTTTTCAAACAGCGTGAAACTTTAATTTCTCAGATGGAGTCGCATTATGAAAAATTGGATAGTTTAATGAGACAGATGAATAAATTACGACTGATGCGAGAAGCTACGGCGTTGAAAAAAGCGAAAGTTGTTGCTATGACAACAACAGGAGCGGCCATGCGCAAAGATTTACTCGAATTAGTGAAACCCGAGGTTATCATTATTGAAGAGGCGGCCGAAATCAACGAGGCACAAATTATCGCGTTTCTGGGAGAGCATGTTAAACACCTGGTGCTGATTGGGGATCACAAACAGCTGCGGCCTCAAATTAACTGCTTCAAATTGGAGAGGGATTTTAACTTTGATTTGAGTATGATGGAGCGTCTTATCAATAACCAGATACCGTACACAACTCTGGCGGCTCAAAACCGCATGAGACCAGACATCTCGAAGTACCTCCTGGACATTTATCCTGAATTGACGGACAGCGATAGGGTCCACAGAAACCTTCCAGTTTCGTGTCTGAGTCAGAACATGTTTTTTTGGGACCATGATTTCGAAGAAGTCGGAGGTAGAAGTTACAGTAATCCAGAGGAAGCTCAAGCTGCGATAGACTTGGCAATCTTCATGACTCAGAACGGCTATCAGCAAAACCAGATAACCATTCTTTCAGCGTATCAAGGACAAGCCAGAGTTTTGAAGACTTTGTTGGAGAAAGACTCGCGACTGTTCACGAAAGAAATTTCAATCTCGACTATTGACATGTTTCAGGGCGACGAAAACGATATCATTATTGTATCACTGGTGAGAAACAACCGAAACGGAGTGACGGGTTTTCTGGGAATTCTCAACCGGCGATGCGTAGCGCAGAGTCGGGGGCGGTCTGGCGTGATTTTTATCGGCAGCCAAAAAACACTTCGATCCAACCCTGCAAGCAAAAAAGTGTGGATCCCATTTCTGAAACAACTGAAAAATGACGGTTGCTTCGGAGAAGAACTGCCTTTGAGGTGCCACAAGCATCCGAATGTCAGTCATGGAGTGAAAGTTGGCGACAAATTTAGCGAAAAATTCGTTTGCAATGAGCCTTGCGGGTTTCAAAATAACTGTGGCATCCCAGATCATAAATGCGCATTGCCCTGTCAATCGTCACATATATATGCGCACTTTACTTGCAAAGAACTCGTAGAAGTATTCTACGTCTGCGGCATTCACACTGGGGTCAAAAAATGTCACGAAGACGCGAGGCGTTTACTTTGCCCAGAACCATGCGAATTTTATTATCACACAAACGGAGTTGATTTCGATTCAGAGCCGCATCCTTGCAGGGAACTATGCGGTGTACCACATGAACATGTAGCATGTCTCGAATGGTTGAAATTTGAATGCCCGACGAAACAACACTTCATTTCGAAGCAATGCTTTGCCAGAAACGAGCCCAAACTGTGCACTCAAACTGTAAAGTATGTAGACCCTGCTTGTGGACATAGTGGGACAAAATTATGCCACGAGGACATTGAAAGCAAAATTTGCGGAGAAAACTGCGAGAAATTTCTGACACCATGTGGTCACCATTGTCTCGAAAAATGTCAGCCAAGTCATTCACACAACAATGAAGAAACGAAATGCAAAACTACTGTCAATTACAATTGTTCCTTTTGTGAAAGAGAAGGCATTAAACTTTGCTATCAAAAAGATTCGGAAGTTGCATGTAAGCATGAAGTCAAAATTGATTTCAGCTGTGGACAACATTCAATGACAGTTGAATGTTACAGACGCGGCCAGAACATTGCAATGAGTTGCATGATGAAATGTTCCTTAAAACTATCATGTGGCGATCCATGTGAAGAAATTTGCGGCAGTGAACATTCACATGATGGCTCGAACTGCCAGGTGACGAAAAACTTTGTTCACAAACCATGTGGAACACAATTGGAACGAAAATGCTTTCAAAAGGAAAAAGACATAACTTGCACTGGAAAATGTGGATACAAACTAACTTGCAGCCATAACTGTCCATTGAATTGCGCTCCCGATCACTCTCATGATATCGTGATTTGTCTCACTAAAATAGAAGAGCCATGTCCGAATCCAAGATGCAAGAAACCACTCCTCCGCAAATGTCAACAGTCCATAACTGATGTAATTTGCAAAGAAAAGGTCAAAGTTGTGAGAGAATTATGCCTTCATTCGACTGAGGTTGAATGTCACTTAAGCAGTGATCAAGACTCCTTTCCACCGTGCAATGAGAAATGCAACGAAGACTTGAAACAATGCGGCCACGAATGTTCGAAAATCTGTGGAACGAAGCACGATCACAAAAGTTCCAAGGACTGCAAAGAAATTGTCGAGATAGCACACAAGCCTTGCGGCAACACAATGAAGGTTAAATGTAATGACAGCAAAAAAGATCACAAATGCGAGGCATGCAATCGTGCGGCAGTTTCCATCTCGATGAAAGCCGGAACTAGAAAAGCAGACATGAAAGCCGAACCTGCGAAATTAGGAGAGATAGAAGTACAGACGACTCAAAACCCATCAAAGACTTCAAAAACGCCCGAGAATGGAAATCAAAGAATCAAAACAACGAATACATCATCCAAATCGGTAAAAATTTCAGAACAAAACACACAGAAAAATTGTGAAAAGTGCAGCGAAAGTTGGACATCGGGGAAATGTGAAAAGCCCTGTAAACTTATTTTGCCATGCGGCCACAAGTGCGACAAAAAATGCTTCGAAGTTTGCAAACAGGAAACTTGTGGGACATGTTGTGACAAAACGCGTAAAAACAGGAAGAAAAAACGCCACAGATCTGCCTCAAGAAACAAACGCGATCCGAGCACGACTTCGGAAAAATCACGCAAAATTGACGAGATAAGGCGTGAAATTGAGAATCTGCCTGACAACAGACTGCAGAGACTTGCTGTGTACCAAATTGACCCTGGTACTTTTGACGAGCGCTACGAAGATGTCGAAATTACTCAAATGTACCAAAAAATGCGAAATATAGCACAGGACTATATGGAAATTAGTGATAGCTTAGTTCCTAGGGTGGAAACTGTAGCCACTGTACAAAACATCATGGGCTGGAAGCTCTTTTTGCAAAAACAAATGCTACTAAATAACCCAAATGATAGAAAAACGATGGGATTTTTTAGCAAAGAAAGTTCAGCTAATCCTGAAAAATTCTGCAAGATTGGTTTCCACGAAGCTATTCAGACATCTTCTAAGAACTCAGTTATTTTTTCCGAAACTAAAATAGTTTCAGACATGCCATTGTCTCACGGTTCCAAAATCTCTATTTTGATTTGTGAAGTGCTTATTGATGAAGGTGCAAATCGTTCGGATCAATACAGTATTTCTGATCCATACAAAATATTTGTCTCCGGATATGTAACCTTCTCCTTGGAGCCACTGAACGATATTCTGGATTCACTTTATGATGAGCTGAATGCTTTACCCATAGACCCCAGAAAAGAGTTCTTCTTCACTGATTCCCAACAACAAATTTATGAAACAGTTTTGTGGTCTGTGAGAAATTCAAAAAATATCAAACTTATTGATTTTGGGATCGAGAAAATATATGCAAACTTCAACAGCGGTGCCCTGAAAAAATTTGATAAAAAACTAGAAAACATTGGTTGCAACAACAGTAAACTGCTATTCTACGCTGAACAAAACGGATACCATGAAGCACAATGCGGAAACGGTATTGACACAATTGGTGTTTTCAATATGGAACTAGACGGCAAACAGTTCACCCAAAAGGTTCCCATCTCTGAATCAGGAAATATGCCAAAAAAATTGCTGTTGTGTCGCACCGCTAGGAGAGCAGCTGGTAAAGGTGACGCCGCGAGAGTCGCACTGCCGTTCATTTTGATTGTAACCAATTGAGATCCGGAATATACTCATCAATTTTTATATACTAGCAATATTAATATCAACAATACGAGTACTAATCATAATAACAGAGCTTATTAACAATGAGAGCACTCGGATATCTCGTTATGGCACGAAAAATCGAAGGACTGGAAAGGAGCTCCGCAAATCATATTGGAAACTCCTGCTAAGAAAAATCTACAAAAAACTTAAGTCTTTACGCCTCACAGAAGTTGTTCCTCAAATAAAAACAAACTTTTTGTAGTAACTATTTTACATATTATTTAGTTATATATTTACTAATCAAATTGAAAACTACTACGCTTTTACTTATTTTCTATTGCACTAAGCTGGGCTTACCGTTTAAAACCATTTAAAAAACCACAGAACCTTTATTTAGCGAACAGGAGAACACAATTTTCAATCATTCGACCAAAAAAAAATGTGATCGAATAAACAAAAATGTCCTCGATCCAAGCAAGATATGTTTCGACCGTGCTCGACCGAAACAAATGTGCTCGACGCAAGAAAATATGTTTCAACCGTGCTCGACCGAAAAAAATGTTCGCAACCGTGCGCGACACAAGCAAGATATGCTCCTATCGTGCTGGACCTAACACAAGTGTACTCGACTGTGCTCAACCCAAGCAAGATATGTTTTGACTGTGCTCGACTGAACTCGGATATGTTTCGACTTTCTAACAACAGTTTATACTCATCAGGTAACATCTTATGATGCTTTTTTATCAGAATTAAGTTGTTGGCGCTATTTGTAATTTGAATGTTGTATAGAGACAAACTATTTTTGAGCTGATTTTCTATCTTCTAGAATACTGTTTTGCAATTTGAGTCGAAAATATTAAAAAGTATGTAGATATTTGAAAAAAAAAAATCTTTTTGACTATAATTTACCGCGTAACAATCGGCATTTTTTGACCGTGCTCGAGGTACCTTTCGACCCTGCTCAAGGTTTGTTTCGACCCAGCTCAAGGCTTTAGGCCTCACAAAAGTTGTTCCTCAAATAAAAACAGAACTTATTGTAGTTACTATTTGACATAATATTTGGTTATATGTTTACTAATCAAATCAAAAACTACTACGCTTTCACCTATTTTTTAATGCAATAAGCTGGGCTTACCTTTAAAAACCATTTAAAAAACGACAGAACGTTAATTTAGCGAACAGGAGAACATAATTTTAAATCATTCGGAAAATTTTGTCAACTCATAGCCCACAAAACCCGGGTCTAGTTGCTCATTTTATATTTTGACCGTCTCGACCAAAAATTGGTCTGATTCGACCGTCTTGACTGAAGTAAATTTGCTCGTTCGTGCTCGACTCAAGCAAGATACGTTCCCAACGTGCTCGACTGAAGAAAAATGTGCTCGACCAAAGAAAAATGTGATCGAATGAACAAAAAAGTCCTCGACCCAAGCAAGACATGTTTCGACCGTGCTCGACCGAAAAAAGTGTTCTCAACCGTGCGCGACACAAGCAAGATATGTTCCAATCGTGCTGGACCTAACACAAGTGTACTCGACTGTGCTCAACCTAAGCAAGATATGTTTTGACTGTGCTCGACTGAACTCGGATATGTTTCGACTTTCTAACAACAGTTTATACTCATCAGGTAACATCTTATTTACTTTTTTTATCAGAATTAAATTATTGGCGTTATTTGTAACTTGAATGTTGTATAGAGACCAACTATTTTTGAGCTCATTTTCTATCTTCTAGAATACTGTTTTGCAATTTGAGTCGAAAATATTAAAAAGTATGTAGATATCTGAAAAAAAATTCTTTTTGACTATAATTTACCGCGTAACAAGCGGCATTTTTTGACCGTGCTCGAGGTACGTTTCGACCCTACTCAAGGTATGTTTCGACCGTGCTTGAGGTACCTTCCGACCCTGCTCAAGGTATGTTTTGTCCCTGCTTAGGTCTTTAGGCCTAACAAAAGTTGTTCCTCAAATAAAAACAGAACTTATTGTAGTTACTTTTTGACATACTATTTGGTTATATATTTACTAATCAAACCGAAAACTACTACGCTTTCACCTATTTTTTATTGCAATAAGCTGGGTTTACCTTTAAAAACCATTTAAAAAACGACAGAACGTTAATTTAGCGAACAGGAGAACATAATTTAAAATCATTCGGAAAATTTTGTCAACTCATAGCCCACAAAACCCGGGTCTAGTTGCTCACTTTATATTTTGACCGTCTCGACCGAAAATTGGTCTGATTCGACCGTCTTGACTGAAGTAAATTTGCTCGTTCCTGCTCGACTCAAGCAAGATACGTTTCGAACGTGCTCCACCGAAAAAAAATGTGCTCGATGCAACCAAGATATGTTTCGACCATGCTAGACCGAAACAAGTGTTCTCAACCGTGCGCGACCCAAGCAAGATATGTTCCGATTGTGCTCGATCTAAAAAAAGTGTACTGGACTGTGCTCAACCCTAGTAAGATATGGTTTGACCGTGCTAAACTGAATTCGGATATGTTTCGAATTTAGAAAAACAGTTTATGCTCTTCTGGTAACATCTTACGATGCTTTTTTAATCAGAATAAAACTATTGAAGTTATTTTTAACATGAATGTTTTGTAGAGACAAACCAATTTTTAGCTAATTTTCCATCTTTTGGAATACTGTTTTGAATCATAAGGTGAGCACCTCGACGCGGGAAGTACAATATCGACTCTAAGTTTTTTTGTTCCGACTATTGAAGATGGGGAAGAACTTCGTATTCGGGTGTGTTTTAGTCTTTTTTTTTTATTTTCCGCGCAAAAACAAAATCAGGTGCCGAACAAATAATCATCGGAATGGGTCGCGTAATATAACATATTAAAGCCCTGTCAGTGATGATTCTTACGAAAAAAAAATCCTAAAAAAACTTCCTCAATATTGAGAAAATCCGATATAAATTTTTTTGATTTTTGGTGTACTTTCGAGCAAATAAATTAGCGAGCAGGCTTTTTTTGTCAACCGAAACATTTACCACAAATAATCAAAGAGTTGAGTGGAGTGATACATCATATTACAGCCCGTTCAGCCTTCAAGCGAGCGAAACAGGGTTGTTTTAGTAGGACAAGCCGCAACAATTTGTTTTTTTTACAGAACATATATTTTTTCAAAATGTTTCCAGTCCTTTTTTGAATAAATTTCAAGAATTGAAATGATTTTCAAAAAAAATCAAACAAAAATTTTTGTTGAATTTTCTTAAATTTATTTTTAGTTTTTCTTCTCATTTCACGCAATTTGCCTTAATTACATTACTGGCGATTTTTTAGGTTTTCATCTGATCTTTTCATTATACCACGCATAAAAATTAAAACTAATTTTCAAAAAATATATGGTCAGAACATTCTGTGCTACTAGCACAGCGACCGGTCATCTTTGTTTTCCATTTAGTTTTTTTATATTTGTTTGTTTTCTATAAAAACAAACTTTTTTGCTATCTTTCCCCTCAGAGAGCAACCACGATTGCAAGAAGTCCTCCAAACCTCACATGAATTGGTATATTCCAAATATCAACAAAAACGCATCACCATAAAAGCACACGAGACAGCTCAATGCAGAGCAAAACCCGAGATATTTCGAGTGCCCATTAATTGTTCTTGTTTGATGAGATAGTTTTTGCTTGATAAAATCAATGGATTGATCCCCTGAGAATTTTTTTATAGAAAATTGGTTTGAATAAAAAAGCACCTCGAGCACATATATTTCTTACTTTCTTCGAAAGTCGGAACGACAAGAGTGCTTGTATATCAGGACAAAGCTCTAAATGTTCCGAATGTCGTCTATTGTCAATTACAAGATTTTTGGTTTAAAAACCTTATAATAATGTTCAAAAAAAATCAGAAATTTTATTTTTAAATTTCATCCCCTCACAAGAATATAGAGTACCAAGTGATAATTTTTGCGCGTGATAATGTAATTGCGCGTGATAATGTTCGACCGTGTCGAGGTTCGAACCCTCTTTTTTGTTGTGGGTCTCCTTCCCTACCTTTACGCTACAAATCCATGATACATTGAAGCTAAAGTGCTATTTGTAATATAATAGTCTGTGTTAATATCCTTAGCATTAGCTGTTTTTAATAGCTGGTTATTGATCAAAATGAACACTTTCAAAATGAACACATTTTGTCGCAACAATATTTGCGTCGCGACAACATTTGCCTCTTTGGTTGAAAAAAAAAGATAGTTCATACTATAACACAAGCTTTCTTGTGTAATAATCCGGTGATATATTACAATAGGTGGCATGTTCAAGTTAATCCAAGCTGGATTGCTTTTTGCTATATTTCAAATAATTATTATAAATCAATTCAAAAACCAAATTTTTTGGCACAAGTGTAAAATTTGGGTTTTTGAGTAATATTTTATCTGGCAGAGTAACGTATTTACAAAAATTTACAAAAACTATCTAGGCAGCATCTACAAATGATTTAATTTAAAATTATTGTATTATGCATTATACTTGTCAAGTTTAATAAATGCACTATACTCATAATTACCACCTATTGAAACATATCACCGACTATGGTTTTATCTTGCAGGAAGAACAGGGTAGCAAGGCATGATAACAAAGCTTTTTACAATTGTGTTACGATGTGGCGATGCACTTGATCGCAATCTGCGCCGGATTATAAAAAGTTGCTGTTAAGGTCAACCAAGAATTGTACCCCAAATTATTGTTAACTATCGAAGAAAGTGACGGAATGTTTGTGCTCCGGGTGAAAGCAAGCTACAGAAGAGATGATCTTTGAAACGTTTGAATTTAATAGATAGAGTGAACTGAATCGCCAAAAACTCGACTTTTTAAAGCGCAATTCAAGCAATGAAACTTCAATAAGTTTATAGCCATGCGATGAAGCTTCGAAATTTTCAAGGTTATTAGATATTGAATCGATTACTATCAAGTCAAAGCTCTTTTCAGCAAGCGATGAGACTTTGAAACTCCATACAAGGAATCAACTGGCCACAAATTAGAGGCGAGGCTGCGCTTCGCAAACACTTGTGAAAACACAACAAAAAAGTAGTTATACAAAGCGCAATAAAAAAAATAGAAATAAACCTCGAATTAGTAAAAACTCGGCTATGTATCGGATTCGACCATGAGTCTCACGCACTAAACACTCAGCCACAGAAGCTTACCAAACAACAAATAAAGCAAGAACAGATTCTATGAAATTTACAATGTTACAGATTGTGATTATAGCAAAAGTTCACGAAATAAGTGACCACTTTCCATTTTCAATGAACACTATTGTTTGCGAGTTAGGTTGGAAAGAAAGAAGGTTCATACTAATAAAATACGTTTACAAGCTGGCTGAACAGAGGCGAGAACACAAAACGTCGTACTACACAAAAACGTACAGCCAATGAGAGCCGATTTCAAACCCACTGCATGCTTTGGCTCACAATTTTATAAAAAATGAGCAATGCGCGAATTAGAAACTGCACAATTTCAAGTAACATTAGCTATCTTAGCTCAATTAAAACGCATTCATTGCCTGATATTCATAGAGCTTTTGTTGTAAAAGAGTAGAAATCACTATCTTCGGCAATCTTGTGGTCCCCTTTTCCGCAGATTGTGAGCAGTTTAAATTTAAAATTAGTTGATCGTGAGTTCGAATTTCCAATTTCGATTTTTTAAAGCCTAAGCTTTTTCTGGGATTTGCTAATTGCTGCTCGAATTTCCAAAAAAAAATCGCCAATATTCGAAACTTTGTCTGAAAATAAATTGTCTGAAAATACTCATCACCCAAAGCTAATCAAAGCTGGGTTACATGCACTTCAAATCCTCATAACCAAAGCTAATCAAAGCTGGGTTACATGCACTTCAACAAGGATAGGCGGTTACTGTGGAACAGAAAAGATAAACACTTTTTTTTCCAAAACTTCACTGCTCCTTTTTGTCAAAAAAACCACATATGGCCTTAAAGCTCTTTGAATTTCCAGAACACACTGTAATTGAAATTTTTTGGATCAAACTAACTCGATTCGAGAAAACTGAACCATTAGGTAACATTTTAATTCCGCTAAAAATATGATAACTGAGTTCCACTTTCGACACCAGAGGTCGATCACGTTTTTCGTGACCATGACACTTTTGTTGTTTGACAAAAGAGTTTGACTTTCTTTTACACAAAGGCGAAGCGGCGTTTCGCAAACACTAGCGAGATTACGACAAAGTAATTATATAAAGCGCAATAAGAAATAGAAATAAACCTCGAATTAGTAACAATTCGGCTAAGTCTCGGATTCGATCTATGACCAAAAGAGTATGAGTGTCACGCACTAACCACTGTCACAGAAGCTTACTAAAATACAAACATTAGCCACAACTAAAGCGAGAACAGATGCTAAGAAACTTCCAATGCTACAGATCGTGATTATAGCAAAAGTGCCACGAAATAAGTAAACCCTTTCCACTCCAATGAACACTATTATTTGCGAGTTAGGCTGGAAAAAGAGAAGGTTCATACTAATTATCCACGCTTGCAAGCTGGCTAGTGTAATCAACAGGTTAATAAGGAGAGGCGAGAACACACAACAACGTACTACAGAAAAACGTAAAGCCACTAATAGCCGCTTTCAAACACACTGCATGGCTTGGCTCACATGCTTATAAACAAAGAGCAATGAACATTATTTGGTTAAATTTATATAAGCCAATGCCCTTTCAAATTGCGAATTGGAAACTACACAATAGCTATCTCACCTCAATCAAAACGCATTCATTGCCTGATATTTAAAAAGCTTTTGTTGTAAAAGAGTAAAAATCACTAGCTTCGCGCTCTTGTGGTTCTGTTTTCCGCACATTGCGAGCAAGTTATAATTCAAATCAGTTGATTATAAGTTCGATCCCCAAATATCGATATTTTAAAGCCTCAAGCCTTTTCTGGGATTTGCTAATTGTTGCTTGATTTTCCGAAAGTAAAATAGCCAATATTCGAAACTTGTCGGAAAATAATTCATCTGAAAATGCTCATCATCCAAAATTAAATAGCACTGAGTTACATGCTCATATTCAACAAGGATAGCCGATTACTGTGGAAGTAGCAGAATGTTCCGACCATAGTCTTAAAATATACAACAAAGTTTTTCAAACTATTGTCGTTCCTTTTAAGGGATGTGATTGTGATAAAAGGAGCTGAACAAAAAAACTAGGCTTAGGCATAATCGACAGTCATGTTAAAATTAACAAACTGAAGAAAAAAATTTACTTGAAAAATTTTCTGGCATTTGCTAATTGTTGCTTGATTTTCCAAAAATTAAAACCGCCAATATTCGAAACTTGTCTGAAAAACGTTCTGGTGAAAATCCTCATCATCCAAAGTTATTTAGCGCTGGGTTACATGCACATACTTCAACAAGGACAGCCGGTTACTGTGCACGTAGCACAGAATGTTCCGACCAACTTTTGTCGTTTTTTTGTCATGGTGTGATTGTAATAAAAGCAGCTGAAGAAAAAACTGGGGTTAGGTATAATCGACAGTCATACTAAACTATACAAATTGAACAATCATGCTCATATCGTTTTTTTTTAGTTTTCAAGTTTTTTTTAGAGTTTTCAAACTTTTGAAAATTTTGATTCCAAAAAAGCGCTAAAACACTCAAGTAAACTAACAATACCCATATAAAACTAAGTCTGTAAGTTTTAAATTAAGCTACTGTAAGCTTTTAAGCAATTAACAGAAGACTGCTCGCTTGCTTTATTCGCTCGAAATATAACTAAAAAATCACTTATTTCCAAACGGCTTTTAACGCCACTGGGAAAACTTTTCTGAATTTTTTAAATGTGATTCGAATATATCACTCAACCAAGTCTGATCACTATTTGGAGTACCTATTTTTGCGTGGAAAACAGAAAAAAAGTAAAACAGACCCGAATACAAAGTTCTTCCCTATTTCCACCGGCCGGAACAATGGGAGTGAGCATAGCAACTAACAAAAAAATGTTCTATTTCGCGACTGCTAGCAACAAAAAATCCAAGAATCAGTTGCCTTAAATACTAATAAATTGCTCCTTCGATTCCATTTCTTGGTCAAGTTTTTCAAAAGCTAACAATTACTCGAAAAGTTGACCTGAACTATATACAGTAAAGAAAAAGATGGATTTTGGGTTCGATTGCGAATAATTAGATCAAGCCACTGTCCTGATTTTTAAGCCGTACTAAATTGTCGCCTATACAAATGCGTCAACAGAGAATTGATAACTTTATGTCCACTAAAAACTCCAAATGGGTTCCACAGGCTCAGCAATTACCAAGCCAGCAAGGCAAAGTTTCAATGAAACCTAAACAACTACTGCTAAATGAAATTGCCATAAATAAATCTAGCCAGCAGAAAAGAGCCAATGAACGCAACGAAACAGAAAAGATAAACGCTTTTTTTCAAAACTTCACTGCTCCTTTTTGTCAAAGAAAAAAAACACATATGGCCTTAAAGCTCTTTGAATTTCAAGAACACACTGTAATTGAAACTTTTTGGAAAAAATTAACACGATTTGAGAAAACTGAACTATTAGGTAAGATTTTAATTCCACTAAAGATCTGATTACTAAGTTCCACTTTCGACACTAGAGGTCGATCACGTTTTTCGTGACCATGACACTTTTGTTGTTTGACAAAAGAGTTTGACTTTCTTTAACACAAAGGCGAAGCGGCGTTTCGCAAACACTAGCGAGAATACGACAAAAAGCAGCTAGAGTTCTAAAAAGTTCACTAAAAAAGTAAAAAAAAGCCTCGAATTAAGTTTCTTCTAGCTACTGCGACCTTGAAACTATGAGTCTCACGCACTAAACACTCGGCTACGAACGCTCAGTCCATGACAAACACTAGCCATAAATAAAGCCGAGAACAGATGTTATGAAATTTCCAATGCTACAGATTGTGATTATCGCAAAAAAACACACAAGTAAACGCTTTTTTTGCGAGTTAGGTTAAAAAAAGGTTTGTACTAAAACACTAGCTTTTCGCTAGCGAATGCAATAGAAAGGAACTGAACTTGATAAAATTCAGAATTCAAACCACGAAAAAGTTAATTCGAGCCTGAAAACTCCGTCTCACACGCTATGCTAAGTTGAAGGTGATGCCCTTAGCTTCTAGTTATGTATTAATTTCACCAAATAATGAACCTCATTTCACTAAGGAATGTTTTATGAGCGGATTAAACAGCCGCTCATGCGCTAATAGCAGGAAATATCTTTCCCTTCAATTGTCCCGAACTAGCAGTTTTGAAACCCCGATAACTTTTCAAAAAATGATTCTAGGTAATACATTTTAAAATTTAGCTCAGGACATCACTGGTTCTCAGATAGTACAGAAAAAAAATCCGTACAAAAATGGCTAAACAAATTCGAAATTAGTCTGGAGAAGAAAACCATCCTTAGCAATTTCGTGATTTAGTTCGCAATTCGGAACAGTAATTGAAATTCGTTAAGATCAAGAGGATTCTAATGATTTAAGAAGATAATCTATTTCGTACGATAATTTTGTTTAAAAGACAATTCAAGTAAATTTGTTAATTTAAAACATGCTAATTAAATTTTTCATAAATACTAATTTTCCCAGAATTTGGCTTCGGTAATATTTTTAATGCATTCGTTATTTGACTTGGAAATATCATATGCATCATCATTTGACTTTGAATTATATCTGTACATGGTCGCGTCACAACTTCAATATGTACTAGAAGAGCTAATATCAGAGATTTCGATGAACAATTCACAGTAGATTCAACAGGAAATGAAACTGAAATCAAAATACGAAACTAAAAGAGTTCAGCTAATATGCTCGACACCGTATGCTCAACACTGGCAATTTTCAAAAATGGACAATGTTACAATTAAAATCAGACTATTATTTCGCTTTTCCATTTTATCGCTTCATACATTTATTTCAACTTATAGATTTCGCTCCTTTCATATATCTTCCTGTTCAGTTTATTTTTTCAAATATATTCATTGGAGCATTCTTTAGGGCTCAGTTTCACGATTCATGGTTATTTCCATCCTTCGTGACACTGTTCTTCTGGTACTTTCTCAGCCAATTGACCACGTCATGGTCACTTGTAAACTGTCCCTTGTGCATGATGAATGGGTGTTTGAGCAGTTCTCTGTGCTTTGGTCTGTTTTCTCGTTTCTTCTGCACGCACAACTCAGTGAAGCTGCGCACCTGTTCCGAGAATGGCGCTGGGGGCAGGCGAGGGGCGGGATCATCCTTGATCATGACTAGCACTTCGAACTCACTAGCGCAGGAGTCAAATTTGTAGTAGGGATATCTAAAAAAAAGAGGTTTTATGTTGTCAAAAAAGACGCACTTAGCATAGTCGTAAGGCGTTCACTTCAAGATCGCTCGTCAGATCGTGTTATCGATCCCCTGCCATGTCAATGATAGAGTGTGAGTATGAGCTATCACGTGACCTCTAGCTTCAGGTCTACCACAGGCTGACCAATATCGGCTGCATTAGTGCTACCACCTGGAAATTCTAGACCCAAAAAATGGCCCCATCGTTCTAGGCGCATTGCTCAACAAAACAACTCAGTTTAGAATGTGGGAAATAAGAGAAACGGGCTATGCTTAGACAGGCTGGATAGCCTTTCATAAATCCTGTGCGAATCGCAAAAACCACAATAATAAAAACTTATACAAAACTGATTAATTAACACTCAAATTACATAAAAACTGCATCAGCCAAAAAAGTAAGACGAAACGAGATAGATTATGTTAACTCTACATTTTATCTTCACTGCATGATCAGTCAAAAAAGTTGTATGCATTTTTCTCCATTCATGGGATCTCGTTTATTCCAAACATTCATTTATTCCAGTGAATACAACTTCGACTGTTCGCAAATTTTTCGAAACAGTTTTCAGTAACCTCTGTTTCTGCTGATTGTCTGTGGTCATCATACTCACTTTTGCAATGCAAGCTCCATGATGGTGATACCGAGTGCCCATACATCTGCTCTGACGTCATAAGTGGCCGAGGGGTCCACTCTTTCAGGGGCCAAATAAGCCACACAGCCCACTGAACGAGTAGAGGCGTTGGAGTTGACCAGTTTGCCACAGATGCCGAAGTCACACAACTTGAACACCCCGCTCTCACTCACTGAAAAAAATAAGTGATTAGAAATCAGCTAATTAAATTTCATAGTTTCACGATCATTACTCTAATCGACTAGACGTATTCGTCGTTTCTGGTTGGGGATAAAGATAGATTGCGCTCTTCTGAGATAACTTAATTCAGAGAAACATAGAAATTCATTTCAATTAAATCAAAAACTTCAAATTGAAAAGAAACCTGTGTGAAAAAACTAATATATTTCTGAGCGAAAACTACTACTTGGAACAAAAAAATGTGTTATTGGAACAAAAAATATATTTTTCAAGGTGATACCTTGCATGCTGAAATATACGATAGGTACATTGCATCTATACATGCTCATTGCATATTGCTGTGTTACTGACCGAGTATGTTGGATGGCTTGATGTCTCTGTGCATGAGGTTCTGCTGGGTCTTGAGGTAGTCCAGAGCATGCAAAGTGCAGTAGGCCAGTCTGGCCAGAATGTGTTCCTCAAACTGCGCATTCCTCTCCTTCAGCAACTTCTCGAGACACGTCTCCATCTGTTCCATGCAGATATAGATGCTCTGCTCAGTAAGAACACATCCGAAACTAAACATACACAACAACCATTATTTTTTATCTAATTACCTCCTTTAGAGCCTAAATCAAAAGTTCGACATTGTAGTAAAAATCAGTGGCGGATTGGGGGGGGGGGGGGGGGGGGGCGATCCCCCTTCCCCCACAGGGATTCGACCATCTGCCGACCTAAAGGGTGTCCCTTTGTACTATTTTGAGATATCCATTTTTGGCTGACGGACCCTAAAATTTTTCTAAAGGCGCCAATATATACTTATTTTGATGGGGGAGCGCGCGCCGAAAAAACGCAATTTCCGTTCCTGGTAAAAAACAAATAAACGTCCGACATTGTAGTAAAAAAGCGAAGAAACTTTAACCGCTCTTCATGTTGCATTGTCATCTCTTTAAGTTAAGATTTCCTGTGTTTTATTACAAGACCAATTATGAACAGACTGACTAAAATAGATTTTAAAAACAGAAACAACTCACGTGTCGCTGTTTCAACCTGTACAAAGAATTTTCAAGATTTCAATCGTCAATTCAATTAACCATTAACAAATCTTATTCAAATCAAACAATATCTTTGTTTCTGGAGTGATACCTGGTGACTATGTAGGGACATGTGTGTTGAAGGTTGTTGACCTGGATGTCTCTAAACATCTGCTGGTCCGACTGTCTGTTCCCAGTCACTGTCATCACCTTCACTGCCATCCGCACCCCTGTCCCCTTGTGCTCACACTTCCACACTGTACCACACACTCCTGAGCCTAAGAAAAAAGACTTCATTCTCAGTTATGTAGCAGACACGAACTTAACAAGGAAATTTAAGTCATTAGCTACCTTACACTGATCTGCCTCACACTTAAACTCCAAAACACAGAAAAAGAGCCAAAAATTTGCGCAGAGCCGAAATGAAAATAACGCGGAAAACGACTTAGAAAACGCAATAAAACCATAGCCAACAAAGGTTTTAAAAAGGAAATTAAAGCAAGGAAATATAAAAAAAAACTGATTTACTTCTGAAAAAACCTCAACTTTCGCATTTCAAAGTATAAAAACGATGGTCATAATAATCTTTGAAATTCTAGAACACTTTTTTTTGATAAAATTAACCCAAATTGAGAAAATTGAATCAATAGGTAAACTATCATTGGGCTGGTAAAATCTAATAATTGAAACCCATTTTCGAAATAATAACTCCATCGCGTTTTTGGTGTCACCTCTACCATTTCTCTGTTCGATAGTGAAGTTTGCCTTCCTTTTCAAAAAAGAAATGAACTGAACTTAAAAAACCAAAAGCCAAACCTCGAAACAGTAAATTTGCGCCTGAACAAATTTAAAAATACTTTTCTTGAAAAAAAATCATGACGACCTATATTAGAGTCTAGAGAGAAAGAAAAGAAACAGAAGATTTAATTCTCCAATAATATTATTGTTACAATTTCAAATATAACTTATAACTATAAACAATGTCCGAGACTTGGAGAGGACACACGACGGGATCATCGGAGGATCAACCAAGTGTCTGTACCTATACGGTGAATATTTATAAGAAAAGAACACAATTTTTTTTCCGAAAAAAGATTATAAACTGTCTAAATTCACAAGTCTGAGATCAAAACGGGAAAGAATTCGACATCATGGTGTTTATTAAGCGTCTCTACCTTCAATTGAACAAATAGGAAAAACTAAAAAAAAAATATTTTTTGACGCATTTTTTCTTAAATCTTTTAACATGGAATTCTGAGGCTTAGAAGGGGCAACTTAATGGTATATTCCACTAAATCACTTGCCTGTTATTTCAACGGTTATCGACTCTCAAAATTATCTATGTAACAAAGAATCATGTGTATGAATTCTTCGACTACCAAAAGATCTTGTTGAAAACTTTTAGAAAGTTAGAATACAACGAAACGAAAGCGACATATTCCGGCAGAATCTTAGAAAAACCTGTAGTCATCTTGAATTAGTTATTCGAAAGCATGGATTAGATTAACTATCTGATTTTTTTCTCTAGTTTGCTCATTCAAAAGTCAAAAGATACTGGTTGTCTAAACTTGCTGCGCTCTGTGGTTATAGCCTTACCTATTTGCTGTTTGAACAGAATATCTTTGTTTGTGATGTTGTTGTATCTGTTTCCATTGATCTTGAGCACATTCAGCACTCCACTCTGCGTCTGACCATTGTACATGTCAGAATCATCCTGTGAGTTGCCTCGTGAAGGTCCGTTCAGTGAAGTCACTCTCTTGCAGTTGTGGCTGCAATTGTTGTTGTGACCACTGGCCGTGGTGGTGTTGGTAGTGCCAGAACAGCATGAGGATGAGGAACAGCCGGAGGCAGTGGAACAGGTGGAGCCCTGGTGTCTCAGTCCACCTCCTGAAACCCATCATACTTGAAACATAGCCAATATACATTACACTTAAAAACTTTGCTGGTGCCCTAGTTAGAACTTACACGTCAAGCTTTCTTATTTTATGGGTTGCAAAAGTACTGACTCGAGCTTATAAAGACCCACAGACCATGCTGTTTCTCGAAACCCTAAACTTATGGCTGAACGCGGAGACCTCAACCACAACTCCCAAAACGCAAAAAAAAATCCGATATCAACGTTGCATCAAAAAAAAAATGATTCGCTATAACACAAGCTTTGCTTATGTATTTATTAATTAGCTTGTCCGCGACAAAACTCAGCTTGCTTTCAATGTATATAAACTCTGAATTGACCAGAATTTGCAAGCACAGATTCCATAAGATATTATAATACAATTTTAATTCATTTTTGAATAGAAACGTTACCGCCTGGTCAAGAATCTAAGGAAAATAAGGACAGCCAGCGGCTATGCAATCAGCACAGAATGATGCGACTACCATATTTAAGTAAAGAGATTCAAAAAACACGGGAATTTTTTTAACACAGTTTACACAGCAAACACTAGCGAGAACACGAAAAAAATCATCTCTAGAAAGTGCAACAAGAAAAAATAGAAATAAGCCTCGAATTAGAAAAAATTTGGCTAGGACTAAGATTCGACTTACTGCATTCAAGAGATTTTATGTCTCACGCTCTAACCACTCAGCCACGCACGCCTAACCACGGACGAACACTAGTCACTAACAAAGAAACTACATGGGCTAATAAATTGCCAATACGATTCAGCAAAAAAAGGCATTTAACAAATCGCAAAACATAAAGCCACATTATGTATAAATTATGCATTTCAAAAAAATTGCGAGATATGTAGAGTTAGAAAAATTCTGAAATCGAGTTTTTAGTATTGTTGTTGTTTGTAACAAAGAACTTTTTCGGTTCATCTGATGAACTAAAAAATGCATAAACTGAGTTGACTTATAAATATTCGAATGTCAAAGCACATGCTATCAAAACGCTGTAAAGATGCCCCAAAGTGGCACCAATAGTTGCGACTTAGGCTAGAAAAAAAGGGGTTCTTAAGAATACACTAACCTGACGCTAGTGTAAACACAGAAGCGAAGTCGAGCTTCAAATCACTTGCGATACAACACAAACAAAAAAAACAAGCAAAGTGGCAAAAAATGAACTTAGCCAACAGAGAGTGGGAAAAAGTAATGACCGCAAGGAAACAGAAAAAAAACTGACTTATTTATTTGAAAAACTCGCATTCTTCGAATTTTGAAGAAAAAATATGGCCTTAAACTCGTTGAATTTCTAGAACATTAAAAAAAAAACTGGGTCAATACGTACAGATTTTATTTCGCTGGAAAATCTGATCATTAAATTCCACTTCCGAAACTAGAAGTGGATCACGGTTTTTGTTACCTTTACTTTTTTGCTGTTTGATAGTGGATTTTGCCTTCCTTTTAACAAGGGAAATGCATTGAACTAAAAAAAATCACACCGCGAAAAATCAAAATTAAGCGTAAATAACTTCGAAGACTTTTTCTGATAAAAAACCAAAAAACAAAATCACAAAGACCTATATAAGAGTACTCACTGAGTAAGATTACTCTTATTGTACAGCACTTAAAACTGTAATTAAAATTGTTTACAGCACAAGAAAAACCAGTGATGTGGAAACTAAGCCGACAAAACTTGAGCAGATAAACGATAGTACGACAATTTAACTTTTACCGGAAAAAATCTCACTTTTATATATATTGAACAAACAAGGCCCTACCCGGACTCAGACCGTTGACCCGTTGAACTTGGGGTGCAAAGGCGACCATGTTACCTGCAGGCCAAGTATGACCGAACCTGAAAGTGTTTAAGGTTCAATAATAAAGCAAGTAAGAAAAGCGAGTAAGACTTGCAAGAAGTTGTTTACGGGAAAAAAAAAGTCTAGTTACCGATTACAAGAAACTTGATCTCGCAAATGTATAAACTAAAAAAAATTTGTCAAGTGTTCGGAACAATTATGTTAAACTCAAGATTGGGTCCAGATGTATTACACTCATACCTCTGGCCGAAGAGTGGCTGCTGTTATGATTGCAGGTGGTCGAACTCTGAGCATGATTAGCTGCTGCTTGCCTCTCGTGACTCGTGGGCATCCTTTCGCTTTCATTATGATGATTATTGTTTGAGTTCGGCTCTGTCTTAATTAACAGTCCCTTTCTAACTAACTGTTGCGGTTGAGTGTCTTTACTAAGTGAAGCCCTCTCTAATAGTCTTATGGCCTCCACAGACTTAGCCCTTCTCCTAGAAGATTCCGAGTAGCGCACATGACTGTCATGTCGGTATTGCTCTTGCCGTCTCTTGATGTTCAGCTCCTGTTCACGCTGATGTTGACTCATTTGATCTCTGAAGACATTTCCCCGTTTATTTCTTCAATATTTAAATTACCGTCTATTCATAACTTATCAAAAAAATATTAATTCAGAAAGTAAGCATATAAATAGCTTATAAATCGAGCAGCAACATTTTCTTCGAAGTGGAATACTAAGCAGTACTATTTTAAATTTTGATAGCATGCTTTCGACCAATTCACTTACCGCATGTATCTGTCAAACTGTGCCTGAGATGGTTGGTCCGGATGGTGTTGCATACTAGAACCACTATGACTGGCGTGGTCTCCACTAGAACTAAAATGGAGACCCCTGTCGATTGAAGAGTGGATGATTGATGAGGATGAGTCACTCAGCACAGTCGGTCTGCTGACTCTGTGTAACGGAGTGCCATTGTGAGATCGGGATGAGTCATTGAAGCTCAGTATCATCCCTTCTTTCCTGTGTCTAAAATTAGAGCAGACTCAGCAATTAATCTTTAACAGGGAAAGACTTAAGAGCTTCGAGCCAGCGTCTCAAGAATTCGTCTACGTCACGACCCAAAGAGTCTATATGGTTCCAACTAATATTCTTTTTTGTCAATCAAACCAAATTTTCCTGAGGGAACCGGACTTGAGTGCGTTATGCAAGCCAAAACCCTTTTTATGATCTGTATCTTCCAACAAGACCGAGAAACCGCATATCGGTCTTTTTGCCTCACTGGAAAAATAGCATCACATCAGTATATTTTGAGGGCCCGGTAAATAAACGTAGTCGACTTAATAAGGCAGACAAAATTTCGTCTTCCATCTCTAGGGAAGCCCCTCTGTGGAGTTGTCTCTTATTCAAGCGAGAAAGATAATTTCTTCAAAATAGGCGTAAAATGAGCTCAATACATCCACGAAAACGTACTTAACTCATTGGTACTTAACAACCCCTCTTAAGCAAATAGAAGCCCGCGGAGAGTCTTTGATGAACATCGGCTTACTTGGACATCATGATGCTATTGGGGCCAGTGCCTGTAGAGTTGCTTTTTGGGGTTAAATTGAGAATAGACTTGGGGACTGTTCTGGGTGACTTGGGAGGCAGCTTTGGGGATCTGGGAGAAGTGCTGAGGGGCGAGGAGGGAGGGAACTGGAGCGTGAGTCCGGCCGGGTTCCTTGTTCCAGACTTCCCATTGAGCAGTCCAGGCTGGAAACAAAATCAAAAGAACTGAAAAGCTTCAAGGCGTTTAACCTTAATTTTAAGCCGTGAAACCCATCACTTGGTAGCTCCTACGTAAAATTTACCACCATTCATCGGCTACGATAATTTGTATGCAAGAGGTTCAAGCGAGCTAAAATTTTTTCATTAGTTATAACAGATTAGTAACTACAGTTTCTATTGAAACACTCATCTACCCCAAATACGAAGGTTGGGTTCAATTTACCGAGTGGTGTTCATTGGAGCGATGGTGATGAGAGGAATTCTTTGTTTTGAGGAGAGGCGAAGCTGGAAGACAGAAACTGTTCATGGATGACGAGGCTGCCATCCTCCCGCCTGATCCAGGGACAGGTACTGCAGTCGAGAATGAATTGTGCTGTTGCTCTTCTCCGTTGGAAATCACTGGTATCGATGACGTCATTAAATATGAATCAAACAGCTGAAACCTCAAGACGGTTTTGATCTATTTCAACTGACATCCTAGTCAAAAATTTCTACGTTTTAAGAACATAATCTGCTCTGCAGTCGCAATTAATTCGGTATTTCTGCTGCCATTAGTTGAACTTTTTATCAGCTGATTTCAGCTCGCCATTCGATCAAATTGCGAGACATCTTTGAGTCGAGAGTTAAAAACTGGAATCGATATTCGCCGTCTGAAGAGACCAATTCATTATCTACATTAAATCTGAAATACCAACAATAGTAGCATAGTTCTTAACATTATTCCAAGATCTTTTGAATGACCTAATCTATTGTTACTTCAAAAATCACAGACAACTGGGAACAAAGATAGCCGGTCAAAATGGCAAGTAGCATAGGAAGTTCGGACTACAATAAAGAAACATTTTGGTGAGATGAGAGGATCTGAACGAAGGCCTAGAACTTGAGAATATTCGTTAGTTATTAGTTCATTAGGCATATTCGAAAAATCTTTTATCAAAAAAACTAATAGAAAAACAAAAACACAGCCAATAGGCAGTCGGAAACGAGTCATGTACGCAAGAAAATAAAAAAATGACCTTATTTTTGAAAAAGGCTTTGAATTTCAAAAACAATTGATGGTTGACCCATTTAAAAAAGTCCAATTTGAGAAAATTGGATCAATAGGTAAAGTTTATATTTTGCTGGTAAATCTGTTAATTAAATTCAAAAGAACGGAGTATATTTTTTCGAAAAAAATCTCAGTTTTAATTTTGGCTTGGCGCTATATTATGATACGATATCGGAATTTTTCTCTCAGGGAAGCGACACCACTAAACTCAGTTTATAACAGCGTATTAGCGAGCGGAGGTCAATACGTTACGCGATTCCACCGAGGATCAAATGATGGGGCTATCTCGTTACATCTGTTGGAATGCTTGCCTTGATATCGAACACATTCAAACTTTTGTTGTCTGGTAGCTTTTTATATCTAGAGTCAGTTTATTATGCCACACGAGACCGTTTCTAAGAATTCAAAAGCTAACATTTTCCCTTGTTAAAAAGAACCCGAAACTTCTATGTTAGCACAATTAGCGAAAAAGCAGTTAAGTGGTGTTGCATAAATTGGGTTCCAAACGCTAGTTTCAAATATTTGATTCTCTTAAATTGTTTGCCATAAATTTTTACGGTTTCTCGTCCTTAAATAGAAAAGAAAACGTTAAATAGTGTTTTATAACCAAATAATTTTGTCGACATAAACAATTCAAACTAAGTCAACTTGGACGTGTACCACAGGAGTACAAATAAACTATTTCAAAAACGCTTCAAAAAGCGCCAGTATAACTTCAAAATCAATTCAGAAAAAATTTATACCATTCAAATTATTGACACACCTCTTTAATGTTGGAATGCTTAGAATACTGCACTATCGCATAATTTTACTACATCTATAAAAGAAAACTAATCACCTAGGGAATAATTTCTAAAACAATCCTCAATTGTCATTCATCTTTTTTGGCAAAATCATTCATGCTGAAGTTTTCAACGGTTTTCGATTACTCTGGCGGCGCTGCTGCATTGCGAATGAATCTGGCTAGAAGTTTGCGTGCCAGTTCCGAGTTGTTATGGTACTGGTATCTGGTGTAGCTGCTGTATAATTGTGTACATCTATGGTAGTAAGCCATTAGTTGACACTTGAGGAACACATATCGCATGTAGAGCTCCTCCCTCACTGCTGCTGTGAACGTGTGCGTCAAACACCACACTAAACAGTACGAATAGTTTAGTCACAAGAAATCTTTCCGATAAACTTCAATTGACTCTTAAAAAAACGATACCAAATTCTGCATTGGTTTGCCAAAATGAGCTTAGAAGCTTTTATATTGGTCCTTTTTTGAGAATAAATGGCCACTTAGATAATCGTTGAAATGGTGAACTTAAATAATCGTTAAAATAGTTTTTTTAAAATTCATTATTTCAACGATTATCTAAGTGGCCATTTATTCACAAAAATAAGGACAAATATAAAAGCTTCTAAGCTCATTTTAGCAAAACAATGTTGAATTTGATACAGAATTAAAATAATTTCCTTGTTTTAGGTCCGGTAAATATACTATAACCTCGGACTATTAGCATTTCGAGTAAGTATACTGCGCGCATTCTTTGCTAAAGGAGACGTTTATCTTATGTACACTGACAAGTCAAATAAACCTGATATCAGAGGAACAAATCTATTTGAGAATCTGTTAAACTCAACAACCAATTTTTTCTGCGAGAAATTCAATGTGATCAGAAGGCTCAAAAACAATCAAACATGGATTTGTTGAAACTTTAAAATGAGGAAATAGAAAAGAGCAGTACCTGAGAGCGCCGCGAACAGTAGATTGTATGTGAGCACCAGCTGCAGACTGTTCAACCAGGTCAGTCTTCCGAATCGCCCGATCAGGTCCAGACTCACCAGACCCAGAGTGCGCATCACCAGAGGCAGTGCACTTCCCACGATCAGAATCAACACACAGTTCACAATGAGAATGTGCAAGGCCGTATCTCCCTTTACTGCAATATCAGTTTCAAACATTTCATTTTCTGCTTCATGTCAAATTGTTAGCAAAATCCTTTTCCATCAACCAATCTGAACGAAATTAATTAATCTACAACAGTTGCAAAAAGTTTACTCACCTAAAACATAATAAATTTTGACTGATTAAATTGCTCAGACGTCCAAGCTCCAAATCAGCCTCTGAATTTGAAGGTTAAAAACACCTGATATAATGTGAATGGATCGAACCAACAGTGGGGAATTTAGGAGAGGGGCGGACCCCGTCCCCATCAGAGATATTTCGACCCCCTCGTTAAGCAACGGGTCCCCTATTTTATCCATTTTCGGCCGACTAGCCTTAAAAGTTTTCTGAAGGCTTAATACACTAATTTTGAAAGTGAGCGCTAATTTTGAAGAGTTTTTGGTCCAAATTTTTAAGAATTGTCCAAAACAGCGTTTTTGACCTGTTGTTTCGACAAAAAAAGGATGAAAAACTTTTCGTATAATGTTTGAAAAGTAGACCCTCCCGCGAGAAAATCCTAGATCCGCCCCTGAATAAATGTTGTCATAATTAAATGAAAAACCTGATTTGGAATTTAATGAAACCTGCCCACATATTAGATATTCTCATTAAATAGTAGTAACCGGCTACACGAAATAACCTTTATTTTTCCCTAAACCGCTAGTGCCGTAGGACGCTAACAAGCGGTGTCAGAACCCTTGTTAAGTCTTAAAACTATGTAACATACATATGTCTACCTGGACGGAGTGTTCTGAGGAATGGCAGGTTGTAGAACCCGATGAGGGAGGCGAGCATGAAGTAGAAAGTGAGGCATACCTCAGTGCACACTCCAACCCACCCCAGACCCACACTGCTCAACAGACCCCCTCTCCCACGCAGACTCAGACTGAAACAAAGTCAGCCACTTCACAATCTAAGAACACATTGTATTCAGCTGCTGATATTATTAACATTAAAATGGAGAAACAAGCAGCATTTTTGGTGCGGCTGTTTTTGTTTAAATTTACGAAATTTTTTGATATCACTTTTGATTTCAGGGCAAATTTTATCGATATTAAAACTATTCACTAATCAATACTTAAACTAGGGTAAATAAAATTTACTTCTGGTGAATAGAAAGGATCTAAATTTCAGTGTTTAATAAATACTGCAGGTTTAACCAGCCTCCAGGCCTCCTTAAATCTAGACTAGCTAATGAAAGTAACCTGTGAATGGCGCTGTCCAGTGTCGTAGTTCCAGCGGACTGTTGCTTGTCTTGAACAAACGGGAGAGAAGTCTGGCCCAGAGCCAGGGCTATGAGGTTGATGCCCACCAAGAACACACATAGACATGTTGTGGCCAGAAGCAGGAGTAGCATCAGAGGGTATCCCAGATTGCGTCTCCAGAAGGCCACAGATAACTTCCGTTCAACTTCAGCTAACTCGGCTTCCACGCCAATCAGATCTGACTGCAATGTGCTCAGTACTAAAATAAAGTTAAATTCTATGTGCTCTTTTGCTTCGAAAACGAATAAATCAATAATTACGAACCGAAAACTATTTAACACTATGACTAATCTAATAACACTTCTTTCAATTTAATGACAAGTAGTTCAATAGCGAACTCAAATTAAATAAGGCTGAAGTTTGTGGGTAGCCATACCTGAGCTTTGAGATGAATATCCTCCAATTGCATTAGTCGATCTTGCGTCTCGATTGGCAGCTAAAATAGTGCCATGAATTGACCCCGATTGAGATAGTTTCGAGTGCTGTGGCTGTGCCCTTTGCATGCTGAGCGAATCATCATCGGAATCCTCAATCAAATCGGAGTATGATCTGAGTCTGCTGTTAAAATGACGTCGGTCGAAACCCGAGAAACTGCTGCTCAAGAAAGTTTGTTTCGTTTTCCCACTTTCAGTGACTTTTCTGCCGCTCTTGCTTTCATCCTGGGCCTAAAAGAAATTACTCATTCATAAACTTTCATGAATTATTACTTTATCACAGAACTCATTTCCAACAAGAGGTGAAGAAAAGTTTCGCAAACCAGCAAAAACGACAAAAGGGCGTTTTACAAATCCACGAATATACAAAATCAAAAATTAGCCGACAACGAGTTTTACACCACAGCCCTCCAGATTATGGGCATTCGCCTTCCTGACTCCCCGCCTTCTGGCCCTTCAATTCTGCTTGTACTCCCTTGGTGCTATTTTGCGACATACGAAAATTTTTCAAACGGCGCCAATAGATCATTAAATGGGGCAGAAAAAGTCAATGAAACATTCTAGAATACCGACAAAAAAGCAACTTGTACACAGAGGTGAAGCGAAGCGATAACAATCTTTTCCGACAATCTTTGAGCAGACACCAGTAGAGACGAAGAAAAAATTGATTTTGTAAAAGCCTGCCCTGGAACTGCAATGAAACAACAATTGCAACTGAAATGAAAATTGCTCACAGCACAAAAAAAAATCCGTGATGCGGAGGCTCTTTTTCCTTTTACCCCACCTGCAAATTTTTATAATCAAAATTACTATTCACATTGTCTGATTGTCATTAAAAGTGACATGGAGACTAATTAAGCCATGAAAAACATATTTGGTCTTTATAATCAACCTTGTAAAACCACTCGCTAAACCATAAAATTGATGCTCATGTGAGCTGACAAAACTTGAGCAGGCAATTTATTTTTTTTCCGAAAAAATTCTATTTCGTACAGACTGAAAAAACAAGCTCCTGCCGGGACTCAAGCCCAAACCGTAGGATGCAAACGTTAACTCTAGGCCAAGTGGGAACAAAAGTGGAAGTTGTTAAGGTTCAATGCTAAAGCAAGTAGGATTTGTAAGAAAAGTTGTTCACGGGAAAACAGTCTAATTCCCGATGCTCTCGCAAGGGTAATTACTAACTTTTACACAGAGGCGAAGCGAGGCTTCGCCCCATATACTATACAACACAAACATAGCATAACAAGTTAGGTGATACAAAAAACCGCTCTTTCGATTTTTTTACGAAATTTCGAGAAAAACAAGATTTACGTAAAAATCATATCTTCATCTCGATTTGTCTTGAATAAATTTGATTCTAAAAAAAACATGCCAAGCAAAACAACTGCTTGTTAAATTAGCATCAAAACAAAACTTGCTGATCGTTTAATCAGTATATAAAGTCGGAAGCCGGAGAATTTTAAAAACACAACCGAAATTTACCGAGCCTGAAAATTACAAAAGGCAAACATAGCCAACAGACAGCTGGAAAAGAGCAAAGGAATGCAAGCAAACAAAAAAATATTGACTAGTTTTTGAGAAAATATCAACGTTCCGGGTTTCAAAACAAAATCTTTGAATTTCTAGAGCACTTTGTGATTGACACCTTTTGGATAAAATTAACCCATTTTGAGAAAACTGGATTAAAACTAAAAAATGCTATTGCTCTCGAAAATCTGATATTATATTCCATTTTCGAAACTAGAAGTCGATCACGTTTTTTGTGACTTTTACACTCTCGCAGTTCGATAGTGATCTTTGGCTTTCTTTTAACAAAGGAAGCAAATTGAACTTAAAATACAGAGGCGAAGCGAAGCGTCGCACTACTTGCAATACAACAAAGAAATGGCAGTGCAAGCTAGCACACAGGAAAAAAACTTCAAAAAACCACGACTTAAAATAATTCATGTTCTCTTTTCCGAAACACAATCGACGGCAATTAATGAAAAAAAATAATTAAAAAGCGGCAACTGAGCCGACGAAACTTAAATAATATCCCGTAGAACCGAAAATATAATTTTTGGCATGAAAAACTTTGAACTATAAATTTTATTCTTACGATACAACATAATCATAAAAAAGAAAAAAATTACAACTAGGTGAACCAAAATTTTCGCATGTCTCGATTAAGCATACCTGGGGCCCAGCTAAAGTTGGAGGAATGCGTTTGATATTTTTTGACTTTGTTATACTGATGCGGGACGAACTGCGTAATTTCAAAAAATGAACTTTGCCCAAAACCTTAGTTGCTTGGGGTCATCTGGGTTGCTCACAAGCTCGTGCAGCTCACCTTATCTTTACTAAAATAAATGAGAAGCGTAATTTTTTTTTTGATATTTTGGCATTTCTCTGAAGACATAATCTTTCTCCTGCATAAAAATTAAGGAATAGCCGTTTCCGCAGGATGAATTCACGCAACCGCGTCTTTAGATTGAAATTTTCATCTCAGATTTATACGGGTAGTTTTAAAGGAAATTCAAAAACTTCTAAAAGGGGCATAAAAGTTCAACATTTTGACATTCCGAAATCCATATTTTTCTGCTTAAAACAGGTTGTGGCCGGTGAAGTAAAGAAGATTCCCAAAATCGGATTTCTTGATTGAAAACTTAAGCTGAGATTTGGCACTGTAATTTTCGAGCAAAAAACTTTTGCTTACAAAAAAACTGGGCGCAGAAAACTATAAAAGTAAGCTTCCAACAAGCTGTTGTGTCGATTAAACCTATGATATCAGATTTGGCAGGATAGTTATCGAGAAACATCGAAACAACGGTCAACAAATCAAAAAGTTGACATTTACGAGAATCATAGCTTTTTGTTTTTAAAAATGGACATAGCTGAGTGTACAGAAGAGATTCACCCAACCTGTAACTTCAATTGGACCCAAAAATCTAGGATTGGCAGGGAAGTCAAAAAGTTTCAAAAAACGGTTAAAAAACTTTGACTTTTCCCGGGCCCATAATTTTTGTTTAGAAAAAAATTCGAGCATAGTCGCGTGAGCAAAAAAGCTGTTTTTTTTTGAAAAATGAGACGGTTTTTGGAGCAAAAGCTAAATTTTTTGGAAAAAAAATGATTTTCTAAAATGTGTTTAAAAAAATAGAAAAAAATCCAATCCCATACACTTTTTACCAAACAAAAATTCGAGACAAACATCCCAAGCAAGACTATTCAAATGAACAACTGAACAAAACTTACGGAGCGGAAACAAGGCTGACAATCTTTGAGCAGACATCAGTTGAGCCGAAAAAAACTGATTTTATAAAAAAAATTCCAAAAGTTTCAAGTCCCCTCAAACTACCCAGTAGTTAAAATTGAATTTTCATGATATTGAGCATGCTATCTGCATAGTGATTAAACTGATTTTGCTAAGCTAGTTCTTAAACTGAAAAAAAGTCTACATTCCGATTTGATAACGCTTGCTAACCGCAAGCGTCATAAGTGAAATTAAAAAGGTGAAGAAGCATCGAATTAGTAAAACTTTTGCTGCATGATGATATCAAACATGCAACTTAGAGATTTGGAGTCTCACGTTCTAACACTGGCAGATTTGGAGTCTCACGTTGGGAGTCTCACGTAAAAATTTCTAACACTGTCCACCAATGATGCGGCTATAGATGCTGAAAAAATGCCAATGCTATGAAGCAAAACGCCACCAAATATAAATCACACTAGTGCTAAGTGTGCCGTTGAACCTCCAACAAGTAGCTTAGGAATTTCAGGCCTTTCCCTTCGAGCCATCGATAGCTCGACTAACGCAAACCATAGCCACCAATAAAGCAGAGTAATGCAAAAGTGCTAAAAACTCATGGACTTCAAAATGGCATTCAGAAAGTCAGAAGAAAGCTGAAGCTTCAAAAAAAGTGTCTGTGCTACCTGAACCTAGCCGACAAAAATAGTCTCAAAAATTTAGACGATAGAGTAAAAAAAAACAGAAAACGGTTGCAACGCCCTTGCTTATCGCTTATTTTTTCACTGATTTCAGGTGAGGTCTTAGTTTACTCACAGGTAGACTGCGTTGTTGCTCAACTTCTATTCTCCTAGTCAGCAAGTCTCTCTGCAATTGGAGCGAGTCTCTGTCCTGTTGGATATCGTGTAGAAACTGTGGCTTGGTCAACACTTTACCAAGTACTGTGAATAACTTAGCAAACCCCAGTGGAGTGCAGAACAGGTGGAAACAGGCTCCGATCAAAGACATACACGAGTAGAGAAGGGGAATGAAGTTCCAACTCACACTCTAAAACAAGACAGCGTCCAGGTAAAAAAAGCTACTAAATACTGTACCTCTATTCAATATAGCTTTAATATAGGCGCTAGTGCAATTGTGATACAGGGGTTCATGTAAAAACCAACTCTGTGTGTGAGAGAGCAACACCTGCCTCTCATTAATCCGATGCGGATTATGCAAATAAATACAAGCTACCTGGTTTGCGCAATGCTACTTGATGCTTCTATTGCCTTTACACCAGGAATACACTTTATTAATAATGAGGCATTTCGTCTATATATGGGACCCTTCCAATTTCTTAGGACCCCTCTATCACAGTTGTACCCAGCTGCTATTTACCCATATTAAGAGCAAGTTGTTTCGTTGTTGAGTTTCCATGTTGATATGTGCCGCCGACTGCTTAATGATGTGATCACTTCTGAAGGGATCAATACCAATACCAGAAAGGACACTGCCGTTGTCGGGCGAGAAAACTGCGGGCGAAGAAGTTGTTGTTGGCGAAGGGGTGTTACTGTAGTAATCGAAGTCGGTTATTGCACAGAAGATGACAACTAGTCCCACCACCATTACAGTGAGCCAGAACAGAGATACAAACGTCTCATAAACTTTGGCAGCTACACAAACGAAAGAAAAAGAAGCAGTATTTTAGATATCTTACCAATGAAGTGTTACCGGTGTAAACCTTACCGGTGTTAATGTTTTTACTCTTTTCACAGGTATTTCAGTCGATTCAAAAATTGGCAAAAAAAATTACCAATTGAAGCTGCGTGCGAATAGTGTGTGCGCGTATGTGCAGGTGATCCTTGGCTCTCTGTGAAAAAGTAGGCAAACGGCAGCAGTAGGAAAAGTGATAAGTTGCACAGAAAGAAAAGACTGTTCCACAGCACATAGACAACGCTCTTATTCAGCCATTGCAGGTAGTAGTTGTCTGGATACCTATAAAGATAATCTTGAATTTGTTATAATTATAAAAAAAAAGACATCGATAATCCAAGAGACAGTTGGAATTGTCCCACGAATTTAAATTGCGCTGGTGAGAACCTTAAATTAAAATGAGAATTAAAATGAGAATCCACTTTTCTAATAATCATTCATTTTTTTGCGTAATTCGCGAATTGGTAATGAAGCCCGTATTTTGCCTTGAATTAACTTTAAAAAAACAGTCGACCACTAAAATCTAAATTATAAAACTTTCTCAAAAATTAAAACAACGTTCAATGTCATTTAAAAGAGGAGAATGAGACGTAGGACAATAAATGCTCCTTCAGAGTGGCATTACCTTGTAAGAACTTCATTCGATAAGATTGAGAATGGAAGAAGACAGACGGCTGCCATAGAACACGCGAGTGAGAATGTGCACAGGTAGTAAGGAATCTTGTAGACCAAGAGAACAACAGTCCAACCAGAAGATGGAGCGCCCATCTGTTGCGGATGTGTATCATTTTCATGATGAAGTTGGAATAATGCGTATGCTGTTGTTTCACAATCCAGCAAATAATAGTCCTCTGATTCTGGTTCTCTCTGAAAGCACACTGTTGATGATTAACCTTTAAACATTTCGCACAAATAGTTATTTTTATGACGGAGCCCAGTAGTCCAAAGCTATTTGATTTCAAAATCGAAAAAAACCTGGATCTTTCATTTTTCGGCGTTGAAATAAAAAATCATATGGCTTCAATTGGACCAAAAAATCTCTCCTGAACCAATTTACGGGAAAAATTGTTTACTTGGTTAAAACTAATCTTTTTCAGCCGATCAGATTTGAGCATATTACATGTAGGCCTTACGGGTTGATTTTGCCATGTGACATTAGAGGGAGATTGTTCACTTGGTATATTAAGGAGAGATAGTTAACATGCTCCCCCAAATTTTAAAGAAAAAGTTCATTATATGTTTTGACGTTATATAGATTGGCTTTTAAAAGCTACTGTCCTTGTTTATTGTGCCAAAGGAGTTGTAATGAAGGATTTTCACTTATTTAAAGAATTGAATCATGAACTTGCACTACTGTATTCGGTTATAAAAATATCAATTTTATTAGTCCACAGACCGCCACAGCCAGAACATCAGAGCTAGCACGCTTATGAAACTAACTTTAAAATGAGATATGAGGAAATGAGCACTCGTATAGAAGGCAAAGAAGAATAGGCAAGACACGAAAATAGCTCTGATAGTATTGTGGAACAGTTCCTCTTCTGCCTCCACGCCCAATTCGACGCTGGAACTCATCGAAACTTATAACATTTCTGAAACACAACTTCTTATATTTGTATCGGTGATTTTCAGCTGAATGCTGCTCAAGAGCTCCAAGTCAACGAGCATAATAACCGAGAACCTCAAATCAAGTAGTACTACCAAAAACAAAAAAAATCTTCCCTTCACTTAGGATCGCGAATACGGGATGCGTTCTCGTTATATTAAATAACACCTATTTTGTGGAATCAATGCAGAACGCTCAGACGGAAGCTGTTTACTGAGGTGAGGTAGGTCATCGCTTCCAGAGACTTTTTTTAATGTTCAGAAATTTCCACGTTAAGGGATTTGTTCAACATCATAATCTCGTTCATCGCATTTGATTTCTTGTCTACGTGATTTTGTATGCTTCCCAACAGCAGAGTTTGCTTGTATTCTGCAAAGCGAACTCAAATCGTAAGTTGCAGATTCTGTCTGACATACTTGGACAAACGTGAAGAGCACCTCAACCTTGGGTACAATCGTAGTGCGGAATGAAACAAGCTGATCACGAATTCGTCGACGAATTCAAGTGGAAACAATGTAACATTCGTCTACTGCAGTCACACATGAGGCTTAAGAAAAATGGCTCAAGGGTCAGGGACACCATCTCTTGTGTTTTTCTACCTCAAGAACGGTCGGAGCCAGTTCGGTTCGTTTGTGACATGAGACTACGACCCGTTACAGCTTAAAGGCTACTACTAAAATATCCCCCCACTCTAGAATTAGAAACGTCCCCATACTTAGGTCTCTAGATACCCAAAATACATGAACGCCGTTAAAAACCGGGTTGGAACAATCCGTTAAGTTACTTTTTATTAGACAGTGTAACTTTGATCCATTTCAGATGGATCAACCTAAAACTCGCCTTACCTCAACATAACAATTATAAAACACACTCTAGAAATTTAAATTAGTACTCACATTGTAGCACTCTCAAGAACCAGGAAGTAAATAAGTCGGTAAGCAACTCAAGAATCAATAAAGTAACTAAGATGAGTTTAATATTAGTCAGTTTCAATAACAAAACAAGTTTTTTACTCTAGACTGTGAGTTCTCGTGAACCATTGGGACACTCTAGCTGTCCACCTTTCCACCTAAGGTTCACTCTGGTCCAGTTAATAATAGTACTCCAGTCACAACAATCCAGTTCGTGGGAATGCGCTCGTCTCTGTTTCAGATGGGACAGCTCTACTCTCGATTATTATTGCTACTGAAATTGCGAATAGCAATTTCCCACTGATTTTTCTAGCAACTTTCCCGCGATTGTCACTCGATCGTTCTGACTTCTCTTTTCTGATTTTCAGTTATCGCGAGAAAATCGTGCATGACAGGTTCCATTCGAAATTTTGAAAAATTAAATTTCACTCCAAAATTAAGTGCTTTTTGCTTCTCTCAAGGTCAAACTTCCAAATATGACCGACTGGCACATACTCCCCGGACTCGAGATCGATGTCCTCATCGCGTGCTGTCTTCTGCCAGTGAGTCCCAGAAAACCGAGTGTTACTCAAGATACAGTGCCAGTGGTCATTTACAGAAGTTTGCAGCAGACTTAAGCTTATCTACACCCCAAAATTCACAGCCATGTAAAATTTTCACACTATCGCTAAACAGCAATCAAAATCTGCACACACCTGCACCTTTGAATTCTTGCTTTCCAAGCCAATCATTTAAAATTTCTTTTGTCCTATTCAATCAGGAAATTGTCATGCAGCATTTTGATTTATATAATAAATATAGTATATTAATAACAATATTTGCTTTGTTAAAACTTCTTTTTCGTGAATCCAAGTTTCACCCGGATCCACGCTCAAGCCCCCTTTTCCCTCTCAAAACTCAAGATCCATTCGAGCCACCTGCTCATCTCGCACTCTTCGCCTTGGAGGTACTGCACCCTGAAGTACTAGATACGGCAAACTGTCTCAACAGTTCCTCTTCATCATCGGAGCTAATCACAATCTCCTCCCAAGCCTTCAGCTGCTCGTAGGATCGCATCCATTCTCTTTGCTCTTGCAACCTCTTTGCTTGGTTGGGTAGTGCCTTCACCCTAGATTCCCGGTTCAAACAAAAGGAGTTGTGCAGGCTCAAGCTCACGTTCTTCGCCAGGTCCTCCTCTAGTATCGATTCCCACGCCTTGGCGATGTCTCTAGACATTTTACCCACTCTCTTCCATCCTGTCGTGATTGCATTACGATGGGTTAACAGGGGTCTCTTGAAAGCTTCCGGCCCAATCTCGGCCTGGAACTGTCGATACTCTTTTCGATGTTTTCTCATGTGATCTTTCGTTGTCATGTACAACCAGGACGTCAGCGTCGCCCGAAACCATGGGAAGTACCTCAAACGGCTCCAGACATGTCTGACTTCCGTTGGTATGGCAATACCTTGCACGCAGTCTCAAACAACTCGAGTCTCCTACTGTAGTCTATCGCGTATATTGACTCAGCCGTTGGCGTCCCCGCTTCCCGATACTTCGTTATATTCTCTTCTATCCATCTCAGAGCCAACATCGTACTCACTACCAAGATCGTCACCTTCTGTCGGTGATACGGTAGTCCGATCGACCGGATTTCTTCCATATCCCACACCAGGCAAAGGTTCTTGTGATCTGGATACCACACCGTTTGCGCTAAACAGTGGCATGGGCATTCTCCATGGGTGATTTCAATGCTCCTGAGGTTACGCTCCCCCGAGGCTTCCAAGAGAGGCTCAAGCTCCATCATTTTCTCATGCATCGTGTCGTTATCTTCCAGGTTTGGAGCACTTCCCACAGGTTTTCCGATCACGTTTTGTCTCTCGTGATCGCTTGTGTTCTCTCTCTCCAACTTCAAAAGTTCTTCTCCCCAGATTTCATTCAAGTCATCTCTCAATTCTTTTGGTACTGTCCCTCTGATTTTTCTCAACAACTTGTGCGAGTGATGCGATATCCGAGCCAACCTCACGCACTTGGGCACTGAGAAGGCCTTGTCCACCAGTACTCTCTGGCTGGATGCTTCCACCATCACCATGTGCAGTGGGTGGTGACTTCCGCACAAGTTGGCCATCATTGACCCTATCAGCGATTTCGCGTTCAATGGCAAGCCATAAGCTTCGCTCATGGGAAATCCCATTTCCGCCTCGAGACCAACCTTCCAGCTCCGGATGTGTTTTTGAGTCACCTGCAACACCCCGGGCCATGATTCTACGCTCAACGCCGTCACTAAATGATGTTCAGATTCTAGTCTTTCCAGTGACTGCAGACTACACATTCTCGAGAAGAATCCGAGAGCTGTCGCTATATTCACCGTGGTTCTCGCGTAACACTCCGCTACTATTTGCACTTCACTTTTCTCCCTTTCTGTTATGTCTTCGAACCAAGTGACCAGGTCTTCTTTTTGAAATGACAGTATTCTAACGCATGACCGTCCATCGCAGGTGTGCTCTCCGTTTCCACACGTCGAATCCAGACAGCTACCCGGCTCCAATTTCTTTGCTGACCCGGGATTACTAGTCTTTTCGCCTGGCTCTTGCATCTGAGGTGAAATTAGCTTATGCAGCACACTCAACTTTGCCAGATCTTCATCTTCCGTTGGTGCTAACCTCACTCGCTCGGTGGTTTCTTCGATCAGACTCGCGTGGGGATGTGGACACCAGGAGGGTCTTAATAGCTTCCATACCACTCCCAAGTTCGTGGTTAACAAGCCATTTCCATCGCCCATGTTCACTTCAACTCTCTTGTTTGAATACGGTATGCTCACCACCTCTGGTGTTTTCTCAAGAATCAGGCCCAGGCTCGGCCCCTCTTTTTCCACCGCGTCTATTTCCATCATTCTTTCTGTCCAAAACTTCAGTAGCTCCGCTACCTCATGGTTCCTGTGGGCGCCTCCAGCTTCCGAGTCTAAGAAGGGGTTGTAGGCCATTCCCATCACTCCAGACACATATTGGTATTCCCCCTTCTCGCTGATTCTCGAGTACTGCTCTGACGAGGCCAGGTTACGGTGAACATCATGTTCTTCTTCGAACTTCTTATTATAAAACCTCCGTACCTCGTCTAGCTTCCTATGGTTCTCTAGGGATAGTCTGGAACCCTCTTCCTTTTCTATTCCTGTGCTCTGATACACGTTCAAGATGACCGTTGAGACTCTTTTTTCCATGGTTTTGCTTACGCTTGTTCTCTGTTGGCATGCCAGGATGGTGCTATCAGACATCATCGACATTATCCATCTCAAGAAACACGTGGCATCCTTTCTTCTGGCCAGGCTCAAGCCTGAGTTGTCCCTGGCTACGTGTTGCATCAGTGCCTGATACACATCTAGCTTCTTGCTTCCCAACTTCAGCCTGTCATACGAGGTCAGTGTTTCCAACTCTATCCCCACCAGACTCCAGGTGAACATTAATTGTCCTGCAGTTCTAACGAAGGGATTCGCCATTAATGGTGGTGCTGATGAGGGTGTCCTCATTGCTTCTTCAAAATGATCCTTCAACAAACTCTGCCAGGACCTCTTCAGATGATTTGCCATTTCTATTCTATTAACCTCGGCCTTTTGCTGGGTGGCCCAATTACGTCGCTTGCGAGCTACTCCACTGTCCAACTTCTTCCAGCAGTCCTCCATTTCTTTCAATGTTTCAAGGGCCACCCACCACGTCCGGGAGGTGTTCCTCGTCTTGTTCCTTTCCAATGGATCACTTGTCACTCGCTTGCCCGTGGCCTGGTGTGCCTTCGAGATCCATTCTTTGCCGACATCTACTTCCCATGTCTGTCCGTTCGTTGAACCTCTCTTCACGTTTATCTTCTGAGGCTTGAAGTCTTCCTCCGATGTCGAACTGGTGGAAACCTCTATTTCCCTCTCTACTTCAAGTGGTCTTCTGAGCTCCGAGCTGCTCTTGTATGCCGCCGTCTTGCATCGAGCCAAAACCATGGGCGCCGTCTCTCTCAAGTTTCCTTCCGAAACAGCATCCACTGAAGGACTACCCAATCCTTCCACTTCTCTCTTCCTCTTGCGAGTCTTCACATCTCTACTTGAGGGTGTTGTGGCTACC